TCCAAAGTCAAACAATTCTTCCTGGTTTCTATTTTACTAAAATAATTAACTTAAAGAATCTAGATTCTATTAACTTATAGTAATTACATAGTGACTATATTATAATAATATTATTATGATATAGTCACTATATAATTACTATAAGTTAATAGAATCTAGATTCTATTAACTTATAGTTATTATATAGCGACTATATCGTAATAATATTATTATAATATAGTCACTATGTAATTACTATAAGTTAATAGAATCTAGATTTCTATTAATTGATATTTATTTTTTCTATAAATTTTAAGATCTAAATACAGTATTAAATTATTTGGAACTGCACTTTAATAACAACCACTCTGCAACTCTTTCGGCATTACGAAATCGATTTGGTCTTTTAACCAATGATTTGGTTAATGATAGCGTAGACGCTATGATGGCTGTTCTTTCTCTAAATACCACTAGACGATCACGATCATCGACTCCAACTCTACCAGATAATTTTTTTTTTGAAGATATGGATGATTGGTCATATTCGCCGCCCCGTCCGACTGAAGCAAGAGATAACTATGAAAGTGAGATCCTCAAGGATGGATTGAACCTTCCTCAAGTTTATTTTGAGGATGGAAAATTTCCATCAGTTCCACGACGTGCTCATGATGTACCTGCATCATTTACTAAGCATGGAAGAACTATGTCGTCTAAGGAAATATGCAATTATTATACTATTAATAAAGTAATAATATATTTTGGTTATTGTTATGGTTAAAAAAGGAAGTTGTTTAATTGTCACATATCATAGTACATAAAAAAACTTATTTAAGATTATTTTTTAATGGCCATGATACTTGACAACTAAACAACATCCTTTTTTAATCTAGTAGTCTTATTATTAACTAGTTATCTCATAGACACTAGTTGAAAAAAGAAAAAAAGATACTAAATCGTCAAACATTTGACATACTATTCGGCAAACATTCGTCAATATTCAGCTACTGAATATTGACAAATGTTTGCCAAATATATGCCAAATATTTAACAATTTAGTATCTTTTTTTCTTTTTTCAACTAGTAAGTACTATTTTTAAGTTGCTTTTTTTTTTGTTTTTTGTTTTTAATATAATAAATTAAAGATTACTAAACATAGTAATAATTTATATTATTACATAAGGAGTTCCCGAGATGGATTAATGACCTTTTTAGAGGTGAAATGCATGCATTATTTATCCGATGCAGAAATCTCGACGATCCTAAAACTAATGGGATAATTAAAAAGTTCCTAAAAATCTTGGTTCCGGAAATAGGTGAACAAAATTTTGATGATGCGGCACTAAAATTTCGTTCTACCTTTATTGAGTGGCGACATGTTCTTTGGACAAGAATAAACAAATTGCTTGAAGATTTAAAGAGAAGGACAAAAAAGTAAAATAGTTAATAATTATTATTATAGATATTGTTAAACTATATATTGGTATTCAACATCACACGTCTTATCAATTAAAATTACAAAATTCATATAATATTCAATTCAAATTTTAAAAAAACTTTTTTTTTCAAAAATAACAATTGCTGAGAAAACTAATCTTTGTGTTATAACAAAAAAAAAATTCCTCATAGAATTTTAATACATTCTATATTGTGCTCTAACCAAACTCCAATAAAAATTTTTTTGGGTATATTATGTTGTATTAACTATTAATTATTATTATTATTTTTTTTTTACAATATTGTTTTTTTTAGTGATGAGATCGAGAAAATTTTTGCTGCAATGACGGCAAGGGATATTCAAAAAGTGTGGCAGTAGTTTCTCGTTAATATTAACATTCCTGCTATTCGTGAAGAATCTACTATCTCTAATAATTTCGAAAAACTACTTACTGATGTAGTGCGTGCTGGGATATGGGCATTAATTTCTTATAATCAAAAAGATGCTCAAATAATATTTTTTAACTTAAATAATGACTTGTACACAGTCAATATGACCATTTTAACCCTTAGTGGTTGGAATGTTGCAACGTCAATTGATTTAAGTCGGTACAACTTTACTGCTCAAAGGGGTGCTGAAATAATA